GGGGGAGTTGGGAACGGTCAGGGTGAGGTTCATGGTTGGACTGGAGGAGCTTCAAGGGCTTTTCCAACCAAGGTGATTCTGTGATTCTTCTGTTACCAGCAGCTGCTGTGGGATGGGTGGACAGAAGCACAAGCACCCAGAGCTCCCAGAAAAGGGGGAACACCCTGCCCTGATGCCTACAAGCAGTTCGTGCCTGCAAGTTGAGGCCTGTAACAATTAGTGATAAGAGAAGCATTCCATTATTCCTTAAATATTAGCAAATCACAGAATCATCTTGGTTGGAAAAGACCTTGAAGATCATCCAGTTGATACTGAGAAATGATTGTTTTGAGATTTATTTACTTATTTACTTATAGAAAACTGCTTAGCAACTTATTTACTTATTTATAGCAATTTATATCATTTTAAAAAATATTGCTAAGAATCCTGCTTGCCCAGACTGTTCTGTGGAATTTTACCAAGGACTACTGTGTTCATCAAAACAAAGCAGTTCACTGTGAAAATCTACCAAGGATTACAATGTTCAGCAAAATATTATACTTTTGGCCTTGAGTAACAGGTAGCTCTAACTAGTTGGAATTTTGCTAAGGAGTGAATATAGCCATATACGAATGGTAGTTCTGTTGGTTCTCTTAGATAAGATAGAAAGTAAACTGTCTGAAAAACACGTTATTCAAGGAATTGGCCAAGAGAATCTGTGCATGCTCCATGGAAAAAAAAACAAAGTGAGAAAGACTACGAGCCTTCCTCCCAAAGACCACCAAAGATGATCACCAGGAGGCAATGCGCAGCTGCAAAGATGACATAAACTGTTGACATCAGCCTAACTAACCCTGCCTTACTCATGCATATGTATGTTTGTGTTATGTAACCCAATGAATATGGATATTCACACTCCGTAAGTTTTTGGTAAAATGTGCAGGGGGGGTGCAAGCTTTGTGGACAGATCCCCTTGAACCCCGGCGCCAGACTAAACATACCTGCTTTATAACTCTATTCAAGTTGTAGAGTCTTTTTTTTTTTTTTTTTTCCCGCGAATTACAGTCCAACAATTAACCTAACAGACTGTTCTCAACTCCACTGTCACCGAAAACTGGGATAAAAACTTATCGACACTATGTGATGTAGACAAGCAGACACTTCTGTATTGACGGCCAGATGTGTAGGCGAGTGCTCTCACCAACAACGTGTGCTGAGCACCAAAATCACACACCTTATATAGAACTTACTCATTCATTAAGCATCCATACATAAACATACAATCTCCAAGAAATCATTAACATATTCTCCTCCTATTTCTGAATCTGCGCAGTAAAGGTTAGAAATGTCTAGAAATGGGTCTGGGGTGTAATGTGAGTAGGTGGTCCATGAGTCGGGGGTCGCGATCTCCCCCTGCCGGAATTACCTTTTGCCTAAGGACACAGTTTTCTTGGCAGGTACTTGCAAGCTGTTGCGGTCACTGCCCTCAGTTCCCATTAATCCTGGACCTTGACAGCTACTTGCATTCTTCTAGTCCTATGTATGTATTATAAATCAGTTTACAAATCACCTCGTGTTTGGTTACCTAGGTTCTAACCGTTCCTACTAAACAATTATGACCAATCCCTTTGGCCTTGGTACGGGGCTGTACAGGGAGCTTTAGAGTAGCAGTTGGTTGCTAGATTCAAAATACCATAAATGTAAAATGATTTTTACTAAAATATCTCTTAATTCTATACTTATATTAAAATCAAACACAATTTCATTTCAGTTCATAATAAAATCAGTAACATTTCCCCCCTTTCAAAGTGTTGAAAATCATTTCAATACTTTCATCCTTTTATTAATTTTCATCTTTGAAGCTGAAGTTTGTCTTGCCAGATGATGGTGGTGGTGGGCTGGAGTCTGGTGGCATAGTGGGTACTTATGTCATAATTCTATAATGTATTGGAAGCCTATTAGTAAACTGTCTTTTAAGACAGGCATACACCAACATAATCATCAAAAGGACAATTAGTAGCAAAAATAGAGTTTTGATTAGGGATTTCAGCCAAGACCTCAAGTTCCATCCTAATCCACTAAAAATTTTTCCTAGCAAATATTCTGACATATCTTTTCGAATTGTTTCTGTTTCTTTCTTTTTTTTTTTTTTTTTTTTTTTTTTCTTTTTTTTTTTTTTTTTTTAATTTTTCCTAATAGATCTAAATCATGCTCTACATCCTGAGTGACATTTGGGATATGAATGCAGCAATGATCCAATCTATCTCTGAGATATCCACACACTCCATGCTCCTTTAACAGAAGCATATCTAATGCCATCCAGTTTTGAAGTGTCATTTGGGAAGTTGCCTGTAATTGGATGTTTAATTCTTTAAATCCTTTTCTTGTAACATTAGCCAATTTTTCTACTTGTCCTGTTAAGTGATGAAGCCATTCTCTATTCCTATAGGATGCTATTGGGTTCAAAATAGACTCTAAAGCCCAGCCAATTTTTACTCCTGTTGATGGTTCATTCCAGGTGTCGTCATCTGTTTCAGACCTTTTAATCTGTTGTAATTTTAAATTTTCCAGGGAGCCCTTGAACATGGTGATTTCTTCCAAATCAGACACAATGTTGGCAGGCCTAAAGTAATTTGTTTTACCTTATCATCTACTGGTAAGTGGGTTGTCCAGGTGCCATCACTTTATGCCCAAACTAAATGTCCTGGACTCTAAATGGTGGATTTCTTACAACTAAAAAAGTATCCTCTTCTGGGTGTAAAGATGCTAGTCATGGTGAGGTTATTATAAAAACCTCATCAATAACAACCAAACTTTAAAGCAGCTGCCAAGTGATGCATTCTTCGAATGATTAAGTCTGCATTGCTGCAATCATATACCTTTCCACATTTCCACCATGTACTACATGCTGCCTTTCGAGTCGGGTAGTGCCTTATCTACGATTGAGGGAAGGATTGCAAACACGCCTTTAATCCAGGTACCGTCCCAAGCAAAACACCAAGGAGTTCTGGCCATGTACTGAAATCGTGAGAATATGGACATAGACCATACAGAGTCCCACTGCGCCTGGTTTTGAGTCCTTGGACCAGGTTTGTTACACTGCCATTCCATGATGCTCCTGCTCACATTGTTTTTAATCTGTTCATCATATGAACACCATCCTAGATTAGGGTTTGGGCCTCCTGGGAGGAGAACCCAAGCCAAAGCGATAGGTTGGGACCCTGTTATAAAGTCATAATTTAGTAGTTTCTCGCAGTCTGATTTTTTTTTTCCCCCCGGTGATTTCCATTTGTTTCTAATAACCTTCACTTGTTCATACCATTGAGTCACTGGATTCTGTTTGCAATAAGTAGTCTCGTTTTCATGTTCCAAATTGGTCAAATTCATAGTTAAGATTCCCCAAGGAATAGATTCACCTACTTCTCTTGGTATTGGTAAACAGGCAGTAATTTACGTAATGTTCTGCAAATTGGCAAATCCCTTAATCAATCCTAACATCATATTTTCTTCAGGCATTCCTTTAGGAATGTTAATTAATTGTTCTGTTTTCAATTGCCTTTTGTTCCTAGCCACCAAATCAACCCATGATCTCACCAGCGTCACCTTCCAAGCCAATATAAGGGGAACAATCACAAACTGACATAAAATATTAGACATGTTTCAGAGCCAGTTTTAAAGTCTTTGGATCATGGCTTATAATTTTCCATGGAGTAGGTGCTTTCTTCACTCGGGTATAGTGTATCCAAGCATCTGATTCTGCAATCTTGATAGCCATGAAGGTGGTTAACAGTATCTGGAAAGGTCCCTTCCAGGTTCCTGCAGAGGAAACCATTTGGAAATCCACGTTTTCACATAGACATAATCTCCTGGTTGAAAATCAGGCACTGGAGTTTCTAGGGATAATGGTCTATTCCACACTACCGCACTCTGGATCACAGTCAAAATTTTCCCTAAAGAAAGCAAATAGTTATACACATCCTGTTTTCCTTTTACATGCATGTTTGGATTTGGTTCTGGGGACTCCTAAGCTTTTCCATACAGTAATTCATAAGGACTGACTGAGGTTCCACTCTTTGGTTGTACTCTGATTCGTAATAATGCCAATGGAAATGCTTGAGGCCATTTTAAATTTGTTTCTTGACAGATTTTACTTATTTGCCTTTTTTAAAGTCTGGTTCATTCTTTCTACTTTTCCACTGGATTGTGACCTCCATGGAGTATCCAAATCCCAAGTGATACCCAGAATTTTGCTAACATTTTGGACTATTTCTGCAACAAAGTGTGGACCTCAGTCAGATGAAATTCCAATAGGAACTCCAAATCTTGGAATTATTTCTCATAGTAACCACTTTACTACTTCATTGGGTTGTGTGGTGTGACAGGGAAAAGCTTCTGGCCATCCTGTAAAAGTATCAACCCCCACCAGGATGTACTGGTGCCCATTTTGCCTAGGTAATTCTGAAAAATCTACTTGCTAATAATCTCCAGGTTCTGTACCAGATTTTAACCTACCCATTTGGACTCTTTTCTTCATCACTGGACTGCTTGGGTGGTTTTGTTTGGTTGGTTGGTTTTGTTTTTTCAAACATACTGCACATTATTTTAGCCATGTCCATCATTTTAACAGATAAAACTTGTTTTTGTAAAGAAGTTACTAAAGCTTCTGCTCCCTAATGGCATTCTTGATGTTTGGTTTACATTATTTCTTTCATTAACAAAGGTGGAATTACTACTCATCTATGAGGGGTTACTGTCTTGGAGGGAATTAATGCCATTTGGAATACTTGCTTTCTTGCTGTTAGGTCGGCCAAATTGTTTCCAACAATTTATTTTGTGTTCCTAATTTGGTGTGCTTTACAGTGCATGATTGTTACCTGATTTGGTTTTTGAACTGCTTGTAATAATTGTAAAATTTAATTTTGATGCTTAATATTTGATCTCTGAGAGACCAATAATCCTCTTTCTGTCCACCAAGCTCCATGGACATGTACCACCCCAAAAGCATACTTTGAGTCTGTCCAAATAGTTACTTTCTTTGTTTAACTTTGTTCCAAGGTTCAAATCAAAGTAATGAGTTCTGATTTCTGAGCTGATGTGGTACTCGTCAGTGCCTTTGCTTCTATGACTGTGGTGTCTGTTGTTACCGCATATCCAGCGTATTGAACTCCTTGCTCCATAAAGCTGCTGCCATCTGTGTACAATTCCCAGTCTGGTCGCTCCAAGGGTACATCCTTCAAATCTTCTCGACTGGAATAAACATACTCGATAGTAGCCAAGCAGTCCTGCTCCAGTTGCTCTTCTTCCTGTGAGGAACTTAAAAACACTGCAGGATTTACCAGGTTAGTTGTTTTTAGAATCACGTCATCTTGTTCAGTCAGTACTACCTGGTACTTCATCATTCAGCTCAGAGATAGCCAATGTCCCCCCTTCTGTTCTAAAACAGTTATCACACCTGTGGGACACAGACTGTTATTGTGCTTCCCAAAGTCAATTTCCAAGTATCCTGTATGAGCATCACTGTTGCAACCACAGCTCGAAGGCAGTTTGGCCACCCTTTACTCACTGTGTCTAGATGTTTGGAGAAGTATCTGATAGGTTGTTTCCAGTTTCCCATCTTCTGAGTCAGCACATCTAGCGCCAGGTGTTGCCTCTTGTGAACAAACAACTGGAAATCTTTGGTTAAGTCCAGAAGTTCTAAGGCAGGTACAGACATTAAAGCATGTTTCAATTCTGTGACAGCCCGTTGTTGCTGTGGGCCCCATGAAAAAGGAGAGTTCTTTTGGGCCTCATATAGCATATATTAGACCATGATCCAGAGGTGGCACCACCCTGTCATTCCTAAGAATGTCATTCCTGAGTTCATGAATATTTTTCAGCTCACATGGCTTCTCAGTGTTCTGTTCCTAATTGCCGCTGCCCTTCTGAAATCTCGAAGTCCAAATATATCACAGCTATTTGGGCTTTTTTTTTTGTTTTTGTTTCCCAATCCACAATTGTCCAACCCTGCAATAGCTTTTGCTTACATTTTACGGGCAGATGCCTAGGCTTACACTTTACACTAGGATCCTTTGGTCCAACCCTGCGCAGCTTTCGCCGCATCTGACAGGCAGACTTATACAGTGGGACTCTAACCAACTTTCCACAAGTGGGACACTAACCAACTCGTAGTGGGACTTTAACCCACTTATACCAATACAAAAGAGAAGAGTCTTACCAAAATCCAGGGGACGTTGCGAAGAGCCTTACGGATCGGGGATCGATGGGTATCCCCGAGAAATCCTCGGTGCTGGCTGGAACCGATCAGGTCCCTGACTCCTCCAGTCTCTCAGCGAGGTCCCATCTGGGTTGCCAGAAACTGTCACCGGAAACTGGGATAAAAACTTATTGACTCCTATGTGATGTAGACAAGCAGACACTTCTTTATTGAGACGGCCAGACTGTGTAGGGGAGTGCTCTCACCAACAACACGTGCCGAGCACCAAAATCACACACCTTATATAGAACTTACTCATTCATTAAGCATCCATACATAAACATACAATCTCCAAGAAATCATTAACATATCCTCCTCCTATTTCTCATTCTGCACAGTAAAGGTTAGAAATGTCTAGAAATGGCTCTGGGGTGTAATGTGAGTAGGTGGTCCATGAGTCGGGGGTCGCGATCTCCCCCTGCCGGAATTACCTTTTGCCTAAGGACACAGTTTTCTTAGCAGGTACTTGCAAGCTGTTACGGTCACTGCCCTCAGTTCCCATTAATCCTGGACCTTGACAGCTACTTGCACTCTTCTAGTCCTATACATGTACTATAAATCAGTTTACAAATCACCTTGTGTTTTGTTACCTATGTTCTAACTGTTCCTACTAAACAATTATGACCAATCCCTTTGGCCTTGGTACGGGGCTGTACAGGGAGCTTTAGAGTAGCAGTCGGTTGCTAGATTCAAAATACAGTAAATGTAAAATGATTTTTACTAAAATATCTCTTAATTCTATACTTCTATTAAAATCAAACACAATTTCATTTCAGTTGATAATAAAATCAGTAACACCACCAGATCCCTCAGTGCTATGTCAACCCTACTCTTAAAACACCTATTCTTAAATATTAAGAAGTTCTTTTACCAAACAGTGTTTAACTTTGTATTTAACAAGGCCTGAGTGATTAGAATGTAGAGAGAAAATATCCTAATGTTGAGAATAGATACATCCTGGCAGAGATGCTCAAACAAGGTAGGAACGAACAGCTTGGCCGGACAAGAGAGTTGGGAAACACAGAAAAAAAATTGTCCTTAAAAGACTCGTGAGTGTAGAAGGGAAAGTGGAGCAGGCAGCTAACTCCCCGAACGACTACCCAAGACCCCATGCATGCGTAGTGTAGTTTTGCAATGCCACCATCATGTCAATGTGGTTGATAGGTGGAAAATATACGAACAGCCACGTTTTAAAGGTATACAAAGGCTGAACTCTTGTTTTAGGGTGTGCGCGTTAGCTGGAATGATCCCCCGCGCATCCAGCGCCCCAGTAAAGCACGTCTGCTTCCTCACACTCCAAAACCAGCCTTGGGGCGTTCCTCTCCCGTATTTTAGACACAGCCCCACACCGCCGCCCTCCGCCCCGCCCCGCCTTCCCCG